CCTTTCGTTGAGGGGATACGAACTTTTTAAAGTTTGTTACTTTACGCTGAAAAAAAACCTATGTAGGAGAGGAAAATTTTCTCTACAAAATGAGATGTCTCCCAGCTCTCCACCATGTTTTCTGATAGAGTTATGATCATTTTGCTGGAAGCCTTTGAAAAAGTCACGTTTGTGATATATAGAGTTAAATGATTATAACTCTATCAGAAAACATGGTGGAGAGCGGGGAGACATCTCATTTTGTAGACAAATTTTTACTCTACAAGACTGACTGTTTGAAAAGTTTATCAAGACTGAATGGAAGCGAAAAAAGCTTCGAAAGTAAAGAAATAGGGTGTTTTCAGCGTAAAGTAACAAACTTTAAAAAGTTCGTATCCCCTCAACAAAAGGCCTTGGAGAGCTGTGGGTGGTCTTATTTTGTAGAGGACACTTTACTCTATTATAATGCACATTATTAAACTCAATAATAAAATAAATTTCTAAAAAAGTTAAAAAAAGAGGAGTTACGTACGTTTCATTTTCTTTGACGATGTATATTAGGATTCGACAATATATACATACACTACTGGATAGAGCAAGTCGTCCTCTACAAGTTCATACATATCTTGTTTTAGGATCAATAACTTATAGTTGCCTTTGGATTTACAGGTAACTTTAAATGTCCTACCAAATAATACAATAAAGATCAGTTAGTTTACAACCGAATCTTCGTCACTTAGCAAATCATCTTCTAACAGATTCAATTTATCACAAGCACAACTTCTCTGTCTGCTAGTTGCATATATCTTCTTGGGAGCTAGTAAACTGAAAATAGTGGTAACTGCAGACTGTTGGAAATAAATCTTATAAAAACTTTTAACTAGACAAATCAGCTAAAAGTGAGATAATCAGATACTTAAAATTATTCCATTATCATTGTTGATTCCTTTCTGATTATTAATACCTTTTACTGTACACTAAAACGATATTCGTAATAGTCTTTAGAGTTAAGTTTATTATATGAACTATTGATTTTACAGCTACCACAGACAACATTACAGCATTACACTTAAATGTCTTGTATAATCGACTAATAACAAAACGTACATGAAGATAATTAAATGTTTGATCTTTTAGTTTTAGAAATATTTCCTAATACGAGATATATAAATTTCCTGATAAAGTCCTAGACATATCCCACCAGAGTCCTACTAGAATTTTGCTCAGATATTTAGGATTCTAACACAATCCTATAGAATCCTAGTAAAATCAGAGATATCCGAAAGCCGTAGGATTTGCCTGAATTTCTTAACGTTAGAATCCACCTAGAAAATACATAGAAAGTGCGTAAGATTCTTCTAGGATTACTCATTTAGTTACATCCCTTTTCTTCTGTATTTTTAGATTTTGACTTTAACAACATATGTCACGCCTGATCAAATTCAAATTCTCAAGAATTTTATGGCTTTTTAGTTTATCATTCTCGATAATAATATTATTTATTTGTTTTCGTTTAATAACTCGAAAACAATTAAAGCCTTCAATGAATAATGTTCATGCATTTATCGATACTGTACGAGATATGCCCGCTGTTGGTAATAATTATCACCAAGACTCACTTAATATTTCGAAAACTGTTTCATTTCAAGGTATGAAGCCATGGCTTGTTCATTATCGTGTAACGCATTTATTTGATTACAGATGGTTTGAAACTGGAGCGTATGAATGGCATTTACAACGATTGAATGCGTTAAATAACAATAATAAACTGATTATCGAATCAAAAATAAAAATTCATGTTGATGATATTTTAACATATATAAATCACCATCCTGAACAAGGCGTAGTTATTGATAGTGCCCAACATTTATTTAATCCATTATTTCATTCGCTACCCGAAACAGGTTCTTTACTAGACTATACTTGTACAAAAATGCAATTAACTGAAAATTATTTGCCGTGCAAAACAAAAAGACCAGAAATCATTAGTTTGTTGACTTCAACAACAACTTACACATTAATAGTTGGAATATACGATGTCTTTATCGATAAATGCGGTACCATTTCTACTCAAATTGCTCAATTTCTAAAACAAGATTGTTCTAATTCAGATACAACAGCGGAAACTATTCATTATAACGAACTCATTCATGTCGTTGGTATGCATATGACAAATCCTGCTTACTTTGTAGCACATTTCTTACCAAAAATCATTCGACTACTCGCTGTGACTCCAGAAACCGCTTTACTCTTATTACCGTTGAACGTCCAGATAATACGGGAATACGTGGATCTATTAGTTAACCGTGGTTTACTTGATAAAAATCGAACACGTCTGGTCAACTACGAGTCCAATAAATTTTACCATGTCGATGTTGTTTACTATTTTGATGATGCACCGTCTACTCTATCAGCAAATAGTCACTACCATCGATCAAATATGCAGTTACTTCATCGCACATTGTCCGATGATTTAGTTATGAAAAGTCGAGATTTAATTATTGTTATTAAAAGTCGTGCAAAAATGGCAAGTAATTACAATAGTTTAATTCAAATAATACATCAGTTAGTTCTACCTGATGATCTCAATTATTTACAAGTACATGAGTTTATAGCAAACGAAGGAAATGTTAATGAACATATTAGACAATTCCAACGAGCTCGTATTGTTATTGGAATACATAGTGAAGAGCTAGTTAACATTGTCTACTGTAAACCAGGCACACATCTAGTTGAAATAGGCTACGAACATATGTCAGACATGTATTTTAAAATAGCAACCCATTCTGATCACAAATATTGGTTAGCAATAGGACACGGAGAGACCAGCGAGACAATACATGTTGATATTGACGATTTTAGAAACATATTAGTAAAATTATACAATGAAATTGACGTTGGATGATAGGAGAAATTATTACATTTAGGGTAATAGTTATATCAATTTACATTACGTCCGCTTACTTATTCAAGAAGGTATTAACAAAAACTTTGGTGCAACGTATTTCCATTTTCTGCTAAAATTAGTGCAAAGATCGTGATTTGATATTACCTAATATCCACCAACTGGTATATACAATCTAGAGATGCGATGATATTTGCATCAAATTTCAAATAGAATAGAAAATTCTAATTTTTTCCTCTATCATATAATACACACGGAACAACAAAAAAATGAAAAACATACTAACGCAAATGAGTATATAGCAGGGTAAAAGTATAATGGAAATATTTGACCAATAAATTTTAATATGACACGTAAAATAATGAATAAAAACACAACACAAACAAAACTAGTGGCAAAATAAAATACAGACAGATAAGTTTGAAATACGCGAAGATGAAGGAATAAAATAATTTTACATCACTGGGAGGATAATTCTCAATCATCAAACTGTCTCTTTTGAGCAGCGATGGTATTACTTGGTTCGAACAAAAACTTGTGTTTTCTCCAGTTAATTCAATTTATACTGACAAAATATCTTCTTTCGCTAATAGGAAGTTCCTATCAAACCACCGATAACTGAAACTAATTTGGCCCTTTTACTGCTTAACACAGTCAAGTCAATGACTTTTACTACAAAACAATAAAAAGAATTACTGTCAAGATTCTAGAAGAAATTCCAAAATTACACACAAAAATCTCTACGATTGACTAAAACCGTTGTAAGTTAATATAACACACACACATAGAAATGGGAAAAAGAGAGGTAGAAAAAACATCAAATACAACAAAAGTTTAAGGGAAAACATCGTATACATTTTATCATCTTCTGAGTATTTTTTTTGAGTGCGTGTAAAGGCGCACAAGACTGATTTGACTAGCGTTTCAATACTCTCTCAGTATCTGATAAGCAGACCAGTTTGAGGACTAGCATGTGGTCTCTATCGACTGCAAGCAACGCATGAGATTCGAGCAAGTAAATATGCTCACTCTTAATTCGTATGAAAAATGTTGAATGAGAAACTGTTGTCCTTAGCTACATAGCCAGAAAAAGACTTAAAGGAAGAAACCAAGGGTAATAATGCGAAAAATAACAACATCAAAAATAAATAAGACCAGAAGCGATTGACTGTTTAATGTTTCAAATAATTCTTTAACAGACGTAAAAATTCTTCTTTATTTTCATCACTCAATGCTAAAACTTGTTGTACAATTTTGTTTGGAGATGCCACACGAGCAAAAGTTGAAATCCATACGTTTGTAAATAGCGCCATGATAATTTGACAATCAAATCGGTCAACAAAGCCACCATGACCCGGTATTGTATCAGCAAAATCTTTAATACGAAACGCTCGTTTAAAACCAGATGCAAAAAATCCACCAAATGGTCCAATACTACAAGAAAAAGCAACGTCTGAATATTCTACTCGTGCGGCAAAACTAAAAACATTTCTACAAACCATGACGCAAATAATGATAATAAAATCGAATGTAATTGAAACGGATACAATTGCATTGTACGTTTGAGGAAGGAAAATGGTTTTGGCATTGCATAAGTCGACAATTGAAATAATGGTAACGGTTTGCATTCTGTTGATATCATCATTTTCTCTTCATCGTAATCAAGTGGACATACAAAAAACTGATAACGACATAATATGCCGGCAAAGATAAAGCCAAAAACCAATGTGCTCAAACCACCACCAATAAAACCTAGAGAAAGAACATTATTGACAAACATTTTACTATTAGAAAGTACAGAAAAACGGTTAATAACAGCTTTTCTCAAAACGTTAAACTAATGACATCCCACAACTTTTTTCCTTTGGAGATTATTGAGATAATGATATCGACTTTTGATCACACAATACGCGGACTTTGTACAGTTCATCATCGAAATGTTTAGTGTACCTTCCCAAGTCTTCTTTGGCGATAACTTCGTTAAGGGTGTTCGACCATAAAAAAATCCAAACATATAAGCCATTATATCATTAGCAATAATTATTGACACAGGGAATAAGAACCATATCATTCCTTCACATATATTTTGTATCATTTGATGTGAAGCTGTTACCAGTATTAACAATGTTATGTGTGTATAAGCAAATAATGTAAATTCTTTAAAAACAGACCAAAAAACACATTGAAAGATATATTTTCTTTTAATAGCATTAAAAGAGACAACTTACGCTTTAAATAATAGGTCTTTTTTAAGCTGACGACAAATCCAACAAAACCAGCTGTATATAATAGAAATGAAATCAGTCGATGATAACTGACAAATGGTTGCAGAAAATTATTTTTATTCATCTAAACAACCAAACAGATTGAAAATGATTCCTGATAAAGTCCAGAACAATATGCTTTACCATAAAACCAAAATAATGTATTAAACTTTCACCATAAAAATAATAATTTGATGTAAATAAAAAATACCATGAGAGAGTACGAAACCACGGTAAATTATGTGATTTATAGACAATGTAACCAATATTGATTATTTCTTGAAAACATTTAATTTGAATAATTAATACTAATAGCGAAACGACTAATGGTCCCATTGATATAATTTTCGAGAATATCGCTAACATAACAGCTGAAAACACACCACGTATAACATAATTACGCCAACGTGGACTTAAACCACCTAGCAATATATCGACGTATTTCATGTAGGGATTTGGGGTTGGTGCTTCATCCGTTACTATAATACCTGAAATGAAATTGATTCACATTTGACGTTGTTTAAAACAGAGAAAGAGAAAAGACTTACCGCTAGGATGTGATGGTAATCCTTCAATATCTTCATCTTCTGTTGTTGGTATATCCTGACGTAATTTTGTGTTATTTGAACTTGCATCTCGAGAAGGAAGGTCAAATGCTTCAGTTGATATTTGTTGTGCATTTGATTTATCAACAGGTGGTGGAAGATCAACACCCAATCGTTGACGTACTTCGGTATCAACACTCATCTTGTTTTTTTCTCAAACAATGTTTAATTGTGATTTTTGTTCCACATTTATGATCTGATTAATATATACATAAAAGATATTGCGTATTGCTAAATAAAATGAAACATTTCGTTAAGAAAGCATAAATTTAACCTTATTTTGATTAATAATAACCTAATCGTAATCGAAAAGAATGAGTGAAGCATTATCTAATAGGTTTTTCAAGCTAAAGGGCTAGCTAGTGGTGAACATATTGTAAAAGTAGCTCTCTATGTGAACAAAGCAAGGGGGAAACAGCTGATTTTGGGATTTTTCCGATTTTCATCGATTTTTGGTGATTTTCATCAAATGAAAAGTCACCGGAAATAACTGGAGGTCATTGAAAATCACAGAGAAGAACAGAGGATAACTGAGAATCACTGAAAATCAGTTAAAATCAATTGATTTTGGGTAATTTTTGACTTATTTTGGGCTGATTTCAGTCTGGTATTTCCCCCTTGGAACAAGGTCTCTAATAGATTAATATTTCTTTCATTTATGCATGATGTGAGTTCAGTAGCAGCCATTTTTTCTCGGTTTCTTTAATGGGAGATTTGATTCATTGGGAAAGAAGCAGGTCAGTTCCACTACTGCATATCAGGAAGATAAACTAGAATTGCGTTTTGAGCATGCGTTCGAAGTATTTTCCGATAATATTTTAAAAAGTAAAATAATTCTTGTTCGACCTAATGTTTCGAAAAATACACTGAATTGAGAATTCTATATTATTCATAATAAAATTAAAGACTGAACAGATCGATAGCTTTTATATTCTTTTTAATAAAAGAATGTCTTTATATAATTTGCAAGTTCTTTATTGATTTTGAATATTCTTATTTTTGTATTTCCTCTCATGAATCATGATACGTAATAAAAAAAAAAGACGAAAAACAAAACCGCAAAACAAAATGATCGTTGTCTAATAATAACGAGCAAAAAGAAACAACAGAAAAAAGAAAGAAATGCGAACACAAATACGCACAACTTCAAATTGATGTTTATTCATATCTTTTTTTCAGAACAAAAGAAGAAAACAAACAAATCGAAATGTATTCAAACAAAGTTGACTGTTCAAACCCACGTACACACACACATGCAATGGAGCAAAAACAAAATATTCTTTTTAGTGAAACTTATATTATGTAATGAAGAAAAGTAAAGACAGATGATCATATATATAATCTAGCTCTAAATATAACGAATCGTAGATACAAAAAACCATGATAATAGTGAGAAAACAAACTAAACGTATCATAAGTGGACGTAGTATGACAGATCGTAGTCAAAATAGACTATTTTGAACCGTCATTGAGTAATAATACTGTTCAGTCTTCTTTATGAACAGTCAAACAGATGTAATATTAACTAACATACTTATTGAGAAAAGCGTAACCCGTGGTACACACTTAGAAATAATTATTCTAACAACATCGATACGATGTAGAGGAAGATAAACGTCAATATATCTGCCCTGAATACATTTTCAATATGAAACAAAATTAGAAAAAGACATCGAAAACACTACTCTTTTTTCATATTATTGCAAATACACTGATAATGAAAATATTCCTAAAGATACACAAACAGAAAGCAAAAAGAATTGGCATCGGAAATAGAAGAAAACAAAACCAGCGTATAATCTCACGAGAAAAAGAAATATCATTATAAAGCTTATCCATGTTAAAAAAAAGACAATATTTTTTTATGAAAGACGGAAAAAAATCAATCGTTTTTCTCTAATTCTTATGGCAACAGCCACATTATTTACAAGAAGGGAACCAGAGTTCATTTGTTTATTACAGTTGTCAACCAGAGACAGATATGTACAAAGAATGTTCCACATTTTTTGGTACAGAAAGAAAGAATAAAAAAAAAATTTATGTATATCGAAATTCGTTCAAATGTATACATTTGTTGGGTGCATCTTCATACAAAAATCTAAAAGACAAGAAGATAAAAGTTACTTCACCGTGAGAAAGAGACTTGTTTTTAAAGATAAATACACAAATGTTCTCGTTCTACTAAAGTTTTCGAAGATCATAGTTGCATTTAATACAATTAATAAACTTTTTCTCTAATACGTCGTAAAAAGAATAAAGTATTCAACATACCGTCACAACTTCCACTGTTTAAGTCTGTAATATTTTTGATATTTGAAACAAAATAAACAAAAAATGAATTAATTAACTCGTCTTCGTTTTGGCTTTTTGCTTTTTTTCGTTCGAGTTTTTGTATGATCTACACCTTAAGAAATAAAAACAGTATATTTTCACAAATAACACAAAATTAAAGGCAGTATTACTCACCATTTTCTTGTTCTTGTTGTTTTGGAGGTTCTGAAACAAAAAAATAATAATAATAATAGAGAAAATAGTAATCACCAAATTTTTGTATGAACCTAATCGATAACCGACTAATTCACACCAGCCAACTGGATTAATATTTGTCGATTCACAATCAATCCATTGTTCGTCTAAATAATTTATCAATTAAATTTAATTGACCAGTTCCAGTTTTAGCTTCTAACTTACAGTCATCATCCCATCCATCAAAATGTATACGTATTAAACCATCAAATACATTGGCAATTGTTGCAACACACACAAGACTAATATAACATAAATATTGTCAAGACTAAAATTAGAACAAAAAAGAAACGTTCTTACTGTGGTGCCATTAGATCAACAGCTTCAATTTTCGTCCCAATTTTAAATGGATTTATTGTTTTGTCCTGAAAGTAGAGCATGTTATATTAATTTAGATAATTGTTCAACTCAATGCTCACACACTCACTTTCATAATACCAAATAAACTATTTGGTACATAAGATGAATTTGTTTCTTTAAGATATTTTTCCCATTCGAATTCTCCACGATAGCCGATAGGCGGTGATAATGGCATTTTATTTGAACGACAAAAATTAATTGGAAATATTAACGTTGAACTCGAATGATAACAAAACCAATCTGAACCATCTTTTGCACTACTACCATCGATTGACAACATAAAATAGCCATCTTTCAATACCTAAAAACACAATTTTTTTAGCTTATCCTTCTCATGACATTTCTTTAGAAAATCTTGCCTTCCCAACTGTGGCTGGACATATTCGAGACATTTCCAGTGGATCAACGGCTTCTAGTTTCATTCCAACTTTGAAACATTCATTCAGTGAATCGACAATCACAGGTGTCTAAATAATAAATATCTATTGTAGCATTGTATTTAAAAAACAAAGTAATCATTTTATTTCGTTTATCCGTAAACATAAAAGTTTTTTTACTTATAGAAATAAATCACATACTTTGCGAAATAAGTTTGGGCTAGCGTAAGTATTATTGTACGCATTTGTTTGCATTATTTTAGAAGATTCGTTTTTGTAAGCTTAATAAAGAACCAAGAACATAAACTTAATACATGAGAATGGAGAAAACAAATAATATTTACCATCGTCAGCATCAATTTCGTGTCCGGTAGCAGTAGACCAACCAACTGGATGTATTAGTTCAGAATTATGATGTACCCAAAAATGTTCACCAGCTGTCTATAAAAAAATATACTAAAAAAACCATGTTGCAAGAGAACATGTTGGTTATGAACTTACATTTTCATAATTAATTCTTAGTCGTCCTCCAATAACATCAGAAATTTTTCCAACTCGCATACGAGAAACGCGATATTTATCAATAACTTCGAGCACCATATTCTTTTTGAAGGGACAACGTAATGAATCTTGTATCTAATGAAAGTAAACAAATAGAGACACATAACACCCTAGTTTATCTATCCAATAAACATACCTTCTTACGAAAGTTATCTGGAAGAGTTTTTGCACCGGTTAATTTATTCACTAGAAACGTCTTCCAATCAGTCTGACGATTTTCAATATCTAAAGAGATCAAATTAGAAATTTGTTATACATACTTTGTGTTTATACATACTATGTGGTGGAGCAAGTTTGATTCCATGCTGTCCACACCATCCCACTGTATGTACCTAGAAAACAATTTTTGTAAATCTCGTGCTCTTTTTAGTTACTCATAAGATTTTGAATGATACAATAACATACATCTTTATTGCATAAGTTATACCAAAAATCATGGCTGTCATCATCCTCATATCCTTCGTATCGTAACAACACCAAATAACCTTTATGGAAAAAATAAAGTATCTTCAAAAAAGAAAAGAAAACGCAGTAAAAAGGCAAACCTTCGAATTTAATAACAGTTGCAAACCAAAATATTTTTTCTTTGTTTTCACAATCAGTATTTAATACTTCCACTTTCATCCCGGGCGTTAATTTAGACCATATTTCTGCTAACGGAGCCTGTTTAAAAACAAATAATGTTTACAAATTATTTTTTCGTGAATTCATGTCAATTCATGTCTTACGTGCTTGAAATAACTAACAGGTGCTGCTTGAGAACCTTCTTGTATCAAATAACTTCCCCAAGTAAATGGTATAGCAGCTAAAATGTGAAAAAGAATTAGATGTCAAAAACACTACGTTATCCTTTCAAGAAAGAAACCTACATTCATTTGTTTCTTTTTTTGATGATTCATTTGAAGAGACAGACACCAAAGCAGGCTTTGGCACCATAACTGTACCATCAACGGACATTGACGAAAAAAACGTTTTACAAGCTTATAATCTAAAAATATAAAATCGTACTGTATTAAACAAATAATAATCTACTCAGTAGTATTCTTTACCTCTTAGAAGAGAAACTAAAAATACTGCACTGTTTTTCTCAAAATTTAAATACTATAAATCATCGAAAAATTTACGATTGCACTTCATGCATAAAACCATTTTCAATGCCACACTAGCAAGCAATATTCTTTTTTTTATTCAACCGTCTCTGTTTGGAATAATTTTCCGCAGCTAGTCATTTGTTTTTCTTTCTTAATGTCCTTCAAAAAAGCTTTAGCTCAGCATATTTTTTAGTATCCCTTCGTCTTTTCTTTTAGTTATCATCAGGTATTACAGATAGCCTTCGTCTTCAGTTTTTGGCTTACCTCAAGAAATCTGGCTTGAGTAGATGAGGGTAACGTACAATTCTTTCAAAATTTGCAGTTGAAAAATGCTACAAAAAGTAAAAAAATGAAACAGTTCGGTGGACTTTGACATAGTACAAAATTTCATTAAAATAGGTTTTAGAATGTGGTGTTTAGACGATTAAGAAATCTTGCTGACTAAAAGACCACTCTACAATGAAATTTTCAACATTATCAAGACATCTTAAGAATAAGAGCTAGTTTGTCAGTTTACAAAGAAAAAGATCGACAATGTGCACTAGTACGTGACGTGGACAGTCGAAAAAGTCGTTAGCGAAAAATCTAATCATTTATCGATTTTTTTGGTTTATTTTAAAACCGATTCATTGGATGAAAGTTACAACTTTAAACAAGAATCTAATGGGATTTCATTTCCTGTTTTCCATTTTTTTATTATCTGTTACAATTATAAAGATATTCGTGATTCAATACGATCGCAAATATCGAAAGTAAAAAATGCCTTTACGCGTATAGAATAGTCAATATCTTTGTAGCTGTAACACACCATAAAAAATGGAAAACAGGAAATGAATGAATAAAACAAGAATCCTATTAAATTCTTGTTTAAAATTGTAACTTTCATCCAATGGACTGATCTTAGAACAAAAATCGTATTGTGCTGTAGAAAATCTGTAAATGATTAAACGAACGATCGTATGATTGTCCACATACCACACTGTTGCTCATCCCATCGAAGATTCAATATTTCTTCGCGCAATTAACTCGATGCGAAAAGGATCCATGTTTTTTACGAGACATAATTAGAATATATGTACAATTTTGTCCCCGATCAAACGTATTAGCGATTGGACTCAACAAATCATATAAGAGAAAAAGATTTTGCGGGTCCGCTGACTTCTTTCTATTGGTTAATTGTTTCGTTCAATAAATGAGAGGATAGTTATAAAAGGCTTGCGTGCCCTTCGATTGTCTCAAAAATCTAACATTGTCATACTTATCATAACATTTCGGAACAGTGTGTTTGGTTGTATCATTGTTAGAATTAGTTAAAAACTAGCTGCCAAGAGAAAAAAATGAGTAGAGAATTGAAAATTGCTGCCGACTACTTTTGAAAACTGCTTTGATTTTCTTTTCAAATAAAGTTCGTTTCAAAACATACCCTGAAAAATCATTTAAAATAAGTAAAATCCTACATCCTATTCAAATCCGGAGGTTTTTTGCGGAGGAAACGTTTTTGAGATATCTTCAATTCTAGCACAAGCCTTGTAAAATCGGAATTTTTTTTTTAAACAGTTCAATTTTTATTAAAAAAATACAGCAAATCGGGCTTTCTCCCATTACATGCTGTCAAAAAGTAAAATAAAATAAAAAAAAAGAAAAAGATAAGAGAAAATTAAAAAAAGGAAAAAGTAGAAAAAGTCTGAATTCGACTTAACGAAGTCAGACTAAACTGCAGTTCTAGTTTCATTGAATTCAGTATGAAAACCTGCATAGTTTGGCCTATCTTCCATTAACTTGGGTGTTTTTCTCACGCATTTTTCTCAAAAAATATAAAATTTCACGAAAACTGTATTGGAAACAATATTTTGTTTTCGCTAAGAATAAAAAGTACGTCATATTCTTCAGTTTTTTACTCTGTACTGACTGAAATACGGTCGGGTTGGATAGGAAAAACTACCTGAGTTGTAGCGACACGTCATCTATCGCCTTTTAGATACTATGCTATTTTCTTTTAATGAAAGTGTAACTTCTTGACGAATCTGTATGTTTTTTCCGTTTTTCTCAAACCGCGGTCATTTTTTTGGCAACTGTTATTGATCGGTACTTCTAAAAACGGTGAGTCGAACGACCTTGAAAGAAGCAAATGTTACGATAAGATAATTTTCTTTTGGTTTAGAAAAACCCAAACTAAACGCTTTAGGCATATATATATACTTTATATATACTTTAAGCCATGTTGATTGGAAACCTTGTTTTTAACTTTTGTTTCTGACGTATCCCGTCACCTTTCGTCATGCCATTAACATAGAATGTTTCGTTAATTTGAACAAAATATTAGTTCTGTGGTGTAAATTACACCTGCTTTTGCTCCTCCATTCTCCCGAGCTCTTGAGGATAAAGCTGGTTCAAAAGATTATAGCAGAATAAAAATGGCACAGTTAAAACTTCACTAACTTCAAAACTAACCTTCAGCAAAGAAAACTTTCTATCATCTTTTTTATATAAGTATAAATGTTATCGACTAGATACAACTTTTTTTGACATTTATAAGTTTTTTACGTGAAGTGAAACAATTGAATCGAGAAAAATTACAAAAGAATATCTTTTTGGAAAACTGACTTTTCTTTTAGATTGCAAAGAATTAAAAAGAATAGATAATTACCATTAAAATTAAAAATTAATTTTTTCGCGCGGATTAGTAAATATCAGAATAAGTTGAATTTTTGTGATGTTAGAATTTTAAAGAAACGGGAAAACTGATTGCGATCTCATGGTTTAAATTTCTTTTTACCCACTGAGTTTATCATTTTTTCATAGTTTTTATACAAAATATATTTTTGGGCTCTTTTTCCTAGAATCTTACTTCTTTCACCAATACCAGTTTTTGTTTAAAAGTTTTAGTTTCTTCGAAAACATCTTTTATAAATCTTATTAACATCCAAGAAGAAAAATATGCCTAATAAAACTAAGCGTATATCTAAATCAGCGCGTGCTGGCATTATATTTCCTGTCACACGCATGCATCGTCAATTAAAGTCATCGGAGCATGTAGTTCGACGAGTAACAAAAGGTGCTGCTGTTTATCTGGCTGCTGTTGTCGAATATCTTGTTGGTATGATCTTTTTTTTTTGTATTTTCACGTTTCAATGTTTTTTTTATTCAGCTGAAATGCTCGAATTAAGTGGAAATGCTGCTCGTGATAACAACCGAACACGAATTATACCTCGACATATTTTACTGGCTGTTGCAAGCGATGAAGAACTTGCTAAAGTAAAGAAATTATTGGTTGAATCTTTTTTCATGTTTCGTTTACATGATGCATCTGTTATTCTCAGCTGTTGAAAGGAGTTACAATTCCGCAAGGTGGAGTTTTACCATGCATTCATGCAGGCTTACTTCCCAACTTTTTACAAAAAAGTGACTCGTCCGTTAACAGTACATCATCAATAAATGTTGGAAAACAATCGGCAACATCAAAAAAAAAGAAACCATTATTAACTAAAGGTATAGGAAGTTTTACAGTATATAGTACACCAAAATCAAAAGTAAGTAATTCTTGTTTTAAAGGACATATAACGAAAATATATGCGATATTTTTCTTTTAGGCAGCCGCTCTAAAGGGAACTGCACTTACCACTTTATCAGAAAGAGTTCTTAATCTCGGACAAAAAGTAGAGTGATTGATTACTGTAGATAACTGTATTCTTTATCCTGTCTTTATTTTTTCTTTAGTTGACTGTTGTACAGGGAAACATCATAAATATAAAGGCTGACGCTATCGTTCATCCAACGAATACGTCATTATCTATGAGCGGTGAAGTCGGTAAGTAGAATCGTTCGAAAGTTGATTATAAGAAATAATTGGAAATAATATTAATCAATTATATACAGACCTATGCAAAATTATAGAAAAGATTTATTGTTAATTTTTTCTCATCGTCCATCAGGCGCATCTATCCTGTGGGATATTTGAGGTACAATGCCTCAAACAAAAGTAGTGTGGGACGCTTTTTTGCTGTCAAAATTCATTTTTCAGGTGGTACACTGAAGGCTCGAACCTGTGAGACAGTACAAAAGGCCTCAAATGCTTAAGCGAGAGGAGGGATAGACGCCACTGTCGTCCACAATTGCTAAAATAAATCTGAAAAAAGCTTTAAATAGCTGAAAGAACTCCCTATCTGGTACGGTGCATATAAAAATTTCATGAAAACTTCTGAACCCAGGATCTCTGGAAAGCCAAAATCCTAGAAAAGTAAGTCCCAAGATTTGATGAGAAACTTTTTGTAAATAACTCACTCGAGTAGAGCAGACATTTTTCAACAAAATGAGACGTGTCTGACCTCTCCACAATACTTTCTCATCAGTCTGCATTCAATTTATGGAAGAGCCTAGTTCGGTAAAAATAGCGAAAAATGTCTCTAAAATCTTTCATAAATTGAATGCAGGCTGATAAGAAAGTGTTGTGGAGAGCTCAGAGACGTCTCATTTTGTTGAAAAATGTCTGCTCTACTCGAGTGAGCTATTTACAAAAAGTTTCTCATCGAATCTTGGGACTTACTTTTCTAGGGTTTCGGTTTTCCAGAGATCCTGGGTTCAGAAGTTTTCATGAAATTTTTATATGCACCGTACTAGATAGGAAGTTCTTTCAGCTATTTAAACCTTTTTTCAGATTTATTTTAGCGATTGTGGACAAGGAGAAAAAATTAAATATAAATCTTTTCTATAATTTTGCACTGGACTGTATGTACCAGAAGAAACTTTTGTGTTAGGGAGAAAATTGGCTTAATAATAATGACTTTTGTCTGGCTACAGTAATGCTCGTAAAGATCCTAAATGTCTATGCTAGGTTGTTGTTACTTTTATTGTGATAAAAGTTTGTGTTGTACATCTGAATTAGTATTTTCGTTGTCTCCTTCTAGGTAACGCTTTATCAAAATCTGGAGGACAACAATTACGCGATAGTGTTGCAAATTTAGCAAAAACATCACCGTTGGTCAACACTTCAGATGGTAAGATGCATTTATTGTTTTGCTAATACGCGTTTGCTATTTTTCAGGGATTGTTTTGATGAATTTTTATTACTGTTTTAGTTGCTATCTGTGATGCTCCTAATCTTTCCGCAACAAAACTGATTCATGTATATTCTCCACAGTGGTCAGCTGCACAACAAGCTGAATGTATTGGTCAATTAGATAAAGCCGTGAATAATATTTTACAAATAGCTGATGCGAATATGTTAACCGCTGTTGCTTTACCAAGCGTCAGTAGTGGAAAGTAAGACCCAGTTTCATTCAGTTCAACGCTTTCGCTAGGTTGTTTTTATATATTAGATAAAAAGATATAGCGTCTATTGTATTGTCCTCAGTTGGAAGTGAACCGTATGTTTTGCTCATCTGAATGAAAACAAGAACAATTCGTTTTTTATTTTAAATAAAAAAAATGAAATATTAAAGTTAATTATATTTTTTAATAGGGCTGGCTTTCCAAAACAGACCGCAGCACAGACAATACTGCAAGCAATTAGTAAATATTTTAGAACAGTTACATCAAGTAGTTTGAAACAAATATTTTTTGTTCTCTATGATGCTGAAAGTGTAAATGTTTATACAACAGAATTACAACGAATGATTGAGTAAAATTAGGAGAACATACATGGACGCAATGGTTTTGTCTTTGAACTTGGATATTTCTTTTGTAGTACTATTTTTAACAGTTTTTTGTCCTTCCGTCCGCCATTATTCTTATAATTGTTCTTATATATTCTACTTGTAACTTATTTTTGCTTCTTATTCACTGGGTTAATATCTTGAAAATGCAATGCCTTTATTTCCGCTTCTTTTTTTGTATTCTTGATGACAGCGTTTTTTACGCTGAGTTTTTCTTGATGAATTTCAAGGATCAATGCTAACTTTTAATTTGAAATCGAAATACTTATTTTTCGTTAAATGAGTAAACAATAAATAGATCATTTTTTCTTTTTATTCTACAATTCCATGAACTTTCTTAATGAAGAGACAGCATGGCTTAGTGGCTACGTTGTTCGTCACGTACTGCAAACGTACTGTGTTCGAATCTCAGCGCCGTCAGGTCATGTAATAACCTTGGACAAGTTACTTATGTCTTAATGTCTCGGATCACCCGTCTGCTAGCATACTGACTACGTTGTGACGTACAATACAGCTTCTCTTGCTAGTTCGTGTAACTTTCCGGAAAGCTAGTACGTGGTTATTGAGTATGTATTCCGGGAAGCCCAAGTAATTGGGCCAAAGAACTCTGCGTCAGACTAGCCTTCTGCCCAGAGCTGTAGTTGATGATTAGTAAAGAAATGAGTGACCATGTCAGAAGCTTGTCAACTTTAGGGAAGATAGTCGGCTATTGAAACTGCCATTCGGCATCAACTTTCTATATCGGAAACGGTAACCGCAGAGCAGAATATTCTTCCTTCCTAATGAAGAAGATCATTTTGATAAAAAAATTTGTCATGACAAAATGTTGTCAAATTTTAGTGAGTATTTGTTTTATTCATCAGTCATCATCTTTTTATTTCTATGGAGTAGTTTAGCACTGAATTTTCATCTTTTTCTATGTTATCCATTGATTACTTGATAAGTTTTATGTATGACATTTTTTCTCTAATCCATCGTTGTTGTATTATTCATTAACACAATAAATAATAGCATAGCACAACTCATATCTCTAAAATTGCTTAGGATTATAAGCTTCTTGCAAAAATACCGATACTGTATCAATCAATCAAGTTCAAAATTTCTAACAGGTGGCGTAGAAGACATGGGTCTTTCCGTCTTTGTCATTTTCTTAGTTCTCTTTGACTCTCTAGAATGAAATTTCTTTTCAAACGACTCAGTATTTAATTGCGAGAGAGAAAGAGAGAGAGAAACTAGAATAGAACAGAAGGAAATAACAAAACACAAAATAACACTACACACTTGTTGGAATCGAACATTAAAACTATGAATTTTAAAGCGTCAATTTTACTTTTGGACTAAATTATCCAAAAGTAAACTTGAGATGTTCGATTCCCCGTCGTTTGCATTGCTATAGTGTGTTATACCCCCACTGCTCAACCTTATAACCTTGAACTTCAGGGTTATAATTCTCTATAAGAATCTGTGAAAAGTTTGTATATAAAATATAACGATAAGAGATTAAAGAAAAGTTTTAGAAGAGCTCCTAAATGACACATTTCCTAAACTTGTTGTAGTAAGAAGATGAGATATTTTTCTCCAATTCTTCCAGCATCAAAATACTTTGTTGGATACTTTCAAGTGTGATCTTTGTCGTCATGTTGATTGGCTATTGTTTAGAGCAAAGTCGTTGTCCTAGGGGCATCTTTTTGAAACTTGATAAAAAATAGCCAAGTTTCGCCTTTTCCTTACCCTCATCATTAAAAGTCGACTGTATCTGTTTTTTGTGAGCGGATACGATAGAGATTTGTCTTCAAACTCAAAAAATTCTGGCTGGATATTTCACATTGGCCAAACTAAAGGTTATGTATCAGAAACCCCAAATCAGTGAACTAAAAACAGTGTATTTTTTCGAAACCTAAAAAAAGAAAAAGTTTTCCAATGTAGCAGACTTTAACACGAAAAAATTCCAATTATAGCAGAAAGACCGAGCTTTTCATGATCTACAAAATGGCCAAGTAACTTTT